GACCCCAAGAACTCCACCAAAAGTCTTCTAGACTTAATAACCAAATTCAGTAAAGTAGCTGGATACAAGGTCAACACACAAAAATCAATAGCTTTCTTCTACACGAACAACAGACTCACCGAGACAGAAATAGGGCAAACAATTCCTATCACAATAGCATCGATAAAACTGAAATACTTAGGAGTCAACCCAACAAAAGAAATCAAAGACCTGTTCTCTGAAAACTATAGCACTTTGAAAAGAGAGATTGAAGATGATATCAAAAAATAGAATGACATCCCTTGCTCCTGGGTAGGAAGGATCAACATAGTGAAAATGGCCATACTTCCAAAACTGCTATATACATTCAATGCAATCCCAATTGAAATTCCAACAGCATACTTCACAGACCTTGAGAAAACAATCTAAAAATTCATTTGGAACACGAAGAGACCCAGGATAGCAAAAGCAACTCTAGGTAACAGAGACATGGCAGGGGGTATCACAACCCCCAAATTGAAACTATACTACAAAGCTACTGTGATAAAAACAGTATGGTACTGGCAAAGAAACAGACCTGAGGTCCAGTGGAACAGAGTAGAAGATGCAGAAACTACTGCATCTACTGCAGACACACTCAGTTAACTCATCCTCGACAAAGGAGCCAAACACCCTCACTGGAGGAAAGATAGCCTTTTTAATAAATGGTGCTGGAAAAAAAATTGGGTTTCAATTTATCAAAGTTTAAAACTAGACATATATCTCTCACCATGCACTAAACTAAAGTCGAAATGGATTAAAGATCTAAATATTAAAATAGAAACACTGAACTGGCTGTAACAGAGGTTAGGTAGAACTCTTGAAGACATTGGTGTAGGAAAAGATTTTATGAACAAAACCTCAGTTGCCCATGAACTAGCACAAACAATGAACAAGTGGGATCTCTTCTTATTAAAAAGCTTCTGCACAGTAAGAGAAACCTCCAGCAGTGTGAAAAGATGACCCATAATGTGGGAAAAAATCTTCACCTGCTGTTCCTCAGACAAAGGTGTGCTATCTAGAATCTATAAACTACTTAAAAAAATCAAACCACCCAAATTTCTAGACCCGATCCAAAAATGAGCATCTGAAATGAACAGACATTTCTCAGACAAAGAAGTAGAAATAGCAAAGAAACATATGAAAAAATGTTCAACATCACTGGTCATTTAAGAGATGCAAATGAAAATAATGCTGAGATTCCACCTCACCCCAGAAAGAATGGCTGCTATCATGAAATTAACTAATAACAAATGCTGGTGGGGCTGTGGGGAAAGAGGACCCTGTTCCACTGCTGGTGGGAATGTAGACTGATACAACCACTGCGGAAATCAGTATGGAGATACCTCAAAGAACTAGGACTGGAAATCCCATTTGATCTAGCTATTCCCCTGCTGGGTATCTTCCTCCAAAAATTAAAAGAATCATACCACAGTGATACATGTGGACCCATGTTCATAGCAGCGCAATTTGTAATAGCTAAAACTTGCAAGCAGCACAATTGGCCATCAACTGGAGACTGGATAAAGAAAATGTGGTGTGTTTTTAAAAATAAAATGGTGTACTGCTCAGCCATAAAAAATGAGCAATCCATTTATAGCTAAAAGGATGCACATTGAGGTGATACTCTTAAGTGAAATAAATAGGACACACATGTGTAAATATTGAATAGTTTCTCTAGTGTGAGAAACTGAAAGTGTAAATATGGACTAAAAGGTATAATAGACAATGTGAAATAGGAATAAAAGGGGCAAAGCGGAAGGGGAAGTGGGAGGGGTAGGGGACTTGAAAGAAGGGAACGGAATTAACATGTGAAAATGAAAAAATAGAAACAAAGTCTTTGTAAATATGGAGGGATGCAGGTGTTGAAGGGAGGGCAGGGGAATAGAGAAAAAATAAGAACCAAGACAGATTATGTAAAGGTGCAAATTTCCAATGATGAATGTCATTATATTGTATACCTAAAATGTATCAATAAAATAAAATTTTAAAAAACAACACTATTGTTCCTACCAGTCTTCCCAATTAAAGTCAGGTTTTTCAAAACAATGATAGTTTAATACACAGGAAATAAAAGCCATTCTAGTTTTGATTCCCAAATGTGTATCTAGTAAAAGGAATCCCTCAAAATAAAATTTTCCCCTTCTTTCTCCTGAAGCAAAGTACCAAGTAGGTGATACAAACATTGTTCCTACACCATCAATTTAATTGTAACAGGACTGTAATAATGACGGTATCTCCCACTGAGCACTTTCCAGTTAGACACTTGGCCAAAGGTGTCAATGGTAAGTGCATACAGTATGTCATTAGCCTCTCAGGAACCTACAAAGGAGGTCTTGCAGAACCCATTTTACTGATGACTCAGGCAGAGAGTAGTTAGGGATTTATGAAACACAGCTAATGATGGAGTCCAGATTTGAAACCAGTCTTGAAGCTCCCAGTCTTATTTATTTTCCCATCAAATCCTAAGCAACTTTTCTCTACTTTATCAAGTATGAATGACCTCCATATTTCTGCTTCTTTGCCTTTATAAAACCATTGGGAGTGGGCTTTCAATCTCTAAGCTCTTTATATCACTTCCGTCTTAGCTCTGTTTGAACCTACCTGGGGAAACAATTGAGAGCAACTCCATGACTGCAGAATCAGCACCCTTTGTATACACCACAACTTCGTTGGAAAGAGGGTGCCGGACAACAACGGACATTCGTTTTCTTACTGAGTCAAAGGGCAGGATGTGTAAGAGTTGAAATGTTAATGGTCCCAAGGCAGCAAAGTCCACCATGACCTGCTCTGGTGTCCGTGACTGTAAAGTGCATTGGTAAGCCCTGGCAGCATACACCAAGGCTGCTTCATCTGGGCTTTCAGCCTCATAACAGAGGTTGGAGGCCAAGGGCAGTCCAGGGAGGGATTCCACCTTGCTATCTGTGATGGCTGCATTGTTGTTTGGTTTCTCAATCTCCATACAGCAAGCTGAGTTACCACAGTCCTGGGAGCTCTTCCTAATTGGGGAGACCTCTTCCTCCATAGGTGAAGTCAGCTTCATCCGAGTAAAGAGAGAGAGTCTGCTCACAAAGGTGCTCGGGACCCCCGATGGCAGTTCTTTCCCACTGGCAAGGGATGGTGAACTTGACCTTCGGACAGACAATCTCTGGAAGAGGTTTTTAATCTCTTCCAAGGATTTAATGGGTGTTCCACTCAGTGAAGAAAGCCTAATCTATAAAAGATAATTAGAAAAGTCTCAATAGTAAAGTTCAAAGAAGCTTATAAAAACTTTGAAGTCCAACTGGAAAAAAAAAAACTAAAGTATGTTACCACTCCCTTAAATGGTTAGCAGCCTATTTCTCACTTATAACTGACACAGAAAATGTGAATAAAAATAAAAGCCTTGGTAGGAAAAGATGTGCTGAAAATGATGACACTATAAATTCTTACTGGCATTTAGGAAAGAATTTGATAACTGATAGCAAAAAATACAAAATGCTAACATGAGCATACTCACAACAATTTTTCCTATAGGAATAATTTGAGATAAAATTCATGATCTTTATTGTGTGCATCCTAGCAGTAATAATTTAAAAATTGTAAGCAAATTAAGTATTCAACAGTAACAGAATAGAAATGTCTTGAAATGTGCAATATTTAAAAGTTTGTAAAGACAAGGGAGTAATACTGGAAAAGCTATGTAAACAGTATGAAAAATATTTGACCAAGTAAGCAACAGTACACATAGCAAAACCAAGTAAGAAAAAAAGTCAAATGATTAACAGAATGTATTTTTTTCTTTTACTTTCCAGATTCTACAAGAGATATTTTTACTTAAAAGGAAAAGGCCAGTAAATAAAGTAGCTTAAAGGAAGAGTAGTTATCAGTGTCATAATATGAATTAGATTTTGTTTTGACAGAAACTTTTCTTATTTATACCCTGGTTTTAGATTCTCTCGTGTGTGTGTGTGTGTGTGTGTGTGTGTGTTGAGGGTG